GACTAAGCGACACTCGCAATAGCATCGATAATCGATAATCGCTTAATAGTCGTTTATCTACTGCCTATCGACATTCGCAATAGGGGTGTAAATCTATAATGCTATGTCTCCATTGAGAGATTTATCTATTAATATTTAAGGCTTCATGCCATCCAAACTATAGTGGGAAAACGGATCGCCAGAGTATCCCAAAATATAATCGGTGAACGGACAAAAATCCGCATTTCACCTACTTTTCTTTCCTTTTTCGGATCGATTTTCGGATGTTTTGCTGCATTATGAGCAAAACGTGTCAGACTTTTCAGTCAAGGTTGAACAGTTTTGAGTAAAAAAATATATTAAAACTAAAATAACAAAAGGATAGTAAAATTTAATTAAAATATTAATCATATTAATAAAGGCGCAATAATTGCAAGTTCAACAGCCGACAAGGCTTTGTTTATTTCATTGCACGCTTTTTCAAGAATGCAATACGAATATAAATAATAGGATACACATACGTACGTACATATGTATGTACAGTATCAGTCATATCTATAGCACGCCGTTTCAAAGTGAGATTGTTTGCTACTTTTGTTTATTTCCCTGGATTTGTACAATATATTGTTCATTTAATCTTTTGTAATATTGGACTCGTACTACTAAAAATCTTATAAATATTTTTGAAAACAAATTAAACTTTATCAAGTTTTGGAATGTACCGAATAGTTTACGTAAATTTCAAAATCGAAAACGTTTCAAAAATATTTTTAGAGTTTAATTTAAAAATAGACCATTTTATAAAATTCCAGTGGCATACGTGAAAGTCAAGTAAAATCGCTAATAACTATAAGCACATATTATGGAAATATATAAAGCATTTCATCATATAAAAATGCTTAAATTGAACTATCATGATTTAAAATATTTTTTCCGGGTGGTCAAAAAATATGTACAATATATTGTACATTTACACTGAAAGGTTTAAAGTGTCTTGTACAATATATTGTATTGCAATTAGGGTGGTTTTTGCCGCGTTTTTGAAGAGCTTGTGCGCTGTTGTTGCAGTAAAGGGTAGGTTTTTGATTTCTTGATCTACTGAAGGCAGAAAAACCGGGAAAGTTTATTAGAACGGGTCATTTATGATTTATATTGTAGTTGTATCTGAAATTTTTCAAAATTTCTTTATATAATTCTCTTCTCATGGAGAAAATTTACAATTTTTTAATGCAGATCTTAACTAAAGGTACTTAAAAAGATATAAAATATTCATTCCAACATATCTGCAGTAAAATAAATTATTTTGTACATAAATAAGTTCATTTTCAATTAAATAAAAGTTTTATTCCGTCAAACTTTGTGAAATATTTATTGAGTTTTTTTGAGTGCTTTTACTCCTTTGCGGACTTTTGTACAATATATCATGATAAAAATATAGTAAGGTAGAACCGCTGAGAGTCACTTTTAAAATTCTTGACGTTTCCAAACAATTTAATTTTTAAATTTACTCACAAACTCACACACACATTTTCATTTTCAATCTCAAGCAACAACAATTTCGAACAATTTCAATTTTTTATTTTCACTTTTATATGATTTTAAAATGTTGGCAAACTTCAAAAAAAAATCATGGCCGACAAATTGAGAGAACGGTTATACCTTGCTATGTTTTTATCATGCAATATATTGCCGAAATTTGAGGTAGCCCTAATAGCGACCCAAAACAACTTTTGAGTATTTTTTTTACTTTTGGTATTATGTAGCGCCTCATGAACCTTGTAATTAAGAGGAAAAATACTTATATTCATCAGGGACCGATTTGACCGGAAAGGGTTAGTTTTCAAAATTTTCTATTAAATTACAGTTCATTCTCTAACAAATCAATCCCATGTAAACCCAAGTTTAAAACTTTGTAAAAAAACACAAAAAAATCAACAAATTTTCAAGCAACTTTCAAACATTTTTCTCAGAAGTATTAGAATTCTTTTGAGTACAGAGGTTTATAGCCCAATTTTAGTCTGATAATAGGTGTGTTTTTTTTTTTACACGGATACGTATATGCGCTTAAAATTTGTATGGAGGTGTAAGCGAAAAACTTTTGTGTGCGCTTGTGAATAGTTGTCGATAAAATCACAAGTAATTTTTAAGCAAACAAGTAATGCAAAAAACAACGGCCTCAATTCTACTATAAAAATTTAGGAATTCCGTTAATTTATTCATGATCCAATGATCGGATCTAAACCAAATTAGTATGGGACCACCTGTCAGACACTACCTTTCCGATAGAAACTATCGAAATAGGTTGTCGTGCTCCAAAGTTATGCGGTAACATACATAAACACAAAAAAAAACAAAAACAATCCTTTTTTTTAAGTCGGTTCAAAATTACTTGTTTTCAAATGGAAATTGTCGATTCTTGTTGTTTTTTACATGTTAAGCGTAGATGTATATGCGTGTAAAAAAAACCAGCTAATTCACATGTTTTAAGGCCTAAAAATTACTGTTGATTTTTTAGACACTTTTCAGAAAAAATTTTAAATTCGGAGAACATTTTTTAAATTTTTTTGTAGTTTTCTACAAAGTTTTAGACTTGGGTATAAATGTATTGGTTTTGTAAGAGACCGAACTGCATTTAAATTAAAAATTCTTAAAAATAAAGAAATAAACATAAGTGCAATGCCGTGCTATAGATACGACCGATGCCGTATGTATGTATGTACATGCATAAGAACATATATATTTTTAATTGCCTACGTTATATACATACATACATATATACATAGATACATTAAAGTGATGAGTACAATACTAAATTTATTTTATTTTTTTCACAGCCCGGTCGCGTTGCAACACTCATTGAAGACAAAGAGGTGAGTGAAATTAATGTGAGTACCTATTTATAATAAGAACCACATAACAATACATTTTATCACAATTAATCAGTGGTGGCCACATAGTTATGGACACTACTTCGTTACAAACTTTAACCTTGTATTTTTTCTTTACTTAAATTTATTATTTTCTTTGTTTAAATTTATTTATTTCAAAAATATACTTAATATTACAACGAAAACCATATAAGTCGAAAGTTTCAATCTGTGTAAAAGATGTATAAAAATTCGCCAAATTTCAAATTGGTCATCCAAATTTCAACCTTTCGACATTTCTAGCAAGTTTCTGGTAAGGTTAATTTCTTTATGAGAAAAAGATGGCAACTAAACCAAATTAGTATGGGATCACCCTTGAAGTACCACCTTCTCCATAAAAAAAGACTAATCGAAAACGGTTCAACGGCCATTTTTAAGTCGAAAATAAAAGCCCTTTCCTAATAAAAATCAAACCGCTTATCCAAATGAAACAAGTTTGGTATCAACTGAAAGAGGACTCAAATAGCTTTAAAACTGAAATATTTAAACGAGGAAAGCCAGCAGAAAGCCAGCCATTGAAAAATATTTAAATAAAAAATGTTTTTTAATTGCCATAGAACTATCCGGAAAGACTTTTATTTCGAACTTAAAAAATATCTGGCCAAGTTTAACTGTTTGAAACAAATAACTGCTATTTACGGTCCCTGGATTCTTTAGCCCCAAATTCGTTTAAATTTTGCATCTGATTGAAGACGGTATCTAATATTATGCTGTAGCTGTAATTTTTTAAATTCTTAAAGGATTTTGGTGTTTAATCTACCGACTTTCGTTCAAAATCCAATTTTGATGAGCTCTATAACATATGTAGACAGACGGCAATTTTAATCCGGATTATCGAAGTAATTGATCCGATCAAAATTTGACCCTGACAAATGGCAATATTGCGAACTAAGCAAGCCGCGAGGATTTTTTTTGAGTTCCTTCAATTACCTATTATTTTTATTTTTTAATGTGACTATATTTGTCAGAGTGTCCAGATTGGGCATTTTAGCGGCAATTTGACGTTTTTTTTTATATAATCACGGATTTCTCCTTATTATAGCTTCTTTTTTTATTTTTAGCGCCAAGCGCTCAAAAGTGGATTGTGCGATTCATCAATTAATATGAGTTATGATAAATTTATTAATTACGCAGCCCTATTGCAAAATGTTTTAATACAAATATTTTTTAAAGGTATGCGTCTTTTTAAAGAAAATTGTGTTTACATCACTATTGTAGTATAAGAGATTTGTGTTATTTATTATTACCCTGAAGGTATTATATTCCTTTATGGTTTTAAAACCTATATTATAACAAGATCTCATTTTTTAAATAAAAGATTTGTTAAGTTGATTTCGGGAATTTTATTTAATAAAAAATTTTGCGATTTTTGACACTTTTTTAAATATGCAAATTTCAATAAAAATAAACTCCTAAAAATTTTATAATATTTAAATAACTGAGTAAAATAACATACATATAACAAATAAAATATAACATAATCAAGGACCGAAAATAATAATTATTTTCGAAATTTCAATTCAAAGTCAGTTGGATAGAATTTGTCTTTTAAACATTTATTTTAACTTTTGTTTTTCCAGTCAAAAAAAAGTTAAAATTTAAAATTTGCAGTGAAAAATAAAAGTAAATATCTGACTTCTACTTTTTTCGGTCAAAAAAAAAATAACAGTTAAAATTTTACTTTTATTTTTTGGGTCAAAAACAGCAGTTTATTTAGTCACAATACAATAAGGGTTAAACTGTATTGCGAATTGCTAAGAACAAGCTTAAGTTTTGAGAACGCTACGGGGATATATTTTGTAGTTGTCCGATCTGATCGTTCCGACTAATGATTAATACATATATTATTAAAAGGCGCCCACGTACCTAACTTCAGTCGGATATCTCTAGAGCTGAGGGACTAGTTTGCGTTAAAACAGGCAGACAGACAGACTTGACATACATACATACAGACAGACTCGATTGACTCAGGTCATCAACATGATTATTTTGTCTTTTTATAGGAAGCAACAAAATGTTTTTAACTTAAACGCTTACAAACAAATAAATAACTATAATATTAACTATGAAATTTTAACTTTTTTCTTTGATTGAAAAAATAAAAGTCAAGTTATAACTTTTATATTTGGCCGAAAAAATTCCTTAATAAATTTCATTTCTTTTTCAATATCAACAACAACTGGCCGTTTTCGTTTGCGAGCCTGGTGGTCATCGGTTCGAGTCCCACGCCTAGCTACAGTTGTGTTTAATAATTTTGTATTGATTCTGATTTTTAAGTAGCCATTTTAATGGATTTATTAAATTAAATTGAATTGAAATAAAAATAGCAAAAAAAAAATAATTAAAAAATAAATAAAATAAAACTAAAAAAATTTCCAATATTTGGATAAGGCCCGGTCCAGGGATCGAACCTGGGTCCTATAGAGCTCTACTTACTCGACTACGTTTATTTCTCATTTATCTATATATCGTAAACGATCTTAAAAAGTGAAACAACTCAAAATTTGTCATTTTTGAAATTATGCACCAAAAATGTGCACAGAGCTTTCATTTACCCTTAAGCAAAGGCTGGAGCAAATTTTTCCTAAGGGAAAGTCTCCCTTGCCGAATTGAATAGCATGTGCTATGCATATATGTAATACTCCTATATTGGCAGTAAGAGCTAGTACCGTCCGAAAACACTACAGTACAGATATATCAATAAACACGTACGAAAGAAAAGGAACACACACGCTTATAAATAAACATGTCTAAACAAATAACAAAGTCTAAGTTCGGGCAGAGCCGAACATTAAATACCCGGCGCACGTAATAAATATATGTTTTTCACCTTACCGAAAGCTACCGCTAGATGGTAAGCCGGGGCGGGCGTATCAATTTTGAGTAAATTAGAGTCCTTAGATTTCGAAATTTTGAAGTTTCAAGCAGTTCTGAAATTTACCGTTGTATGAAAAGCGGCCTCAATTTTAGTCCGCTTTCAACGATTTTCAACGTTTTGCTTTTATGTGGCAAGCACAATAACCATACCGAGTTTGGTACAAATTGGTAAAACGGTTACCGAGATACATATATGTGATCATAAGTGGGCGGTGCCACGCCCATTTTCCAAAATTTTATTACAAACGTATTTCTTGGTTAAGAATTGTTGCAAGCATCAATTTTGAATAAATTAGCTTTAATATTTACTGATTTATCGAAGATTTTGTATTTCTCTAAATTACCGTTATATGGGATGTGGGCGTGGTTATTGTCCGATTTTAAAAATTTTCGGCCATTTGGTATATTGTACGAAGGCCAACAACTGTGCCAAGTTTGGAAGAAATTGGTGCAGCGGTTACCAGGATATACACATGTAACCATAAGTGGGCTGGCTACGAAAATTTATAATATTCTTATTTTTCGTCTAAAACTTATTGTAAATATCAGTTTTTAGTGAATAATCTCCAGTAGATACTAAAATATCGCAGTTTTCGTATTTCTGAAAATTACAGTTATATGGGAAGTGGGCGTGGTTACAGTCCGATTCCGCTCATTTTTAATACCAACCTACCTTGGATAAATGGAAACCTACATACAAAATTTCGTTGAGATATCTAAATTTTTGCTCGAGTTGTCGTGTACACGGACGGACGGACAGACAGACATGGCTTAATCGATTTCTCTTTTCATTCTGATCATTTATGTATACATTTGTCTATATCTATCTCGATTCGTTTTGGCTGTTACAAACAACCGTTATGTGAACAAAATTAATATACCCTTGTGCACAAGTGCGCTCGGGTATAAAAACGGCACTCAAGTACACAATACATTGACAAAAACGGTATTAGACTGTCTCGCTTTGATTTCGGAATGCCTACACATTGAGAAGTTAGCTTACTACCAATATAGAAGTATTACATATATGGTGCTATGAAAGAGTTTTTCGTATTTTCTGACGAGCGTTTAATTTTGAGTTGTGTCTCTTTTGAAGATCGTGTGCAGTATGTACAATAGAAAAAATTGGCTCTTGTTATTTTTTTTTTGACAATTTCTAGCTGTACTTAAAAAAGTTTGTTTCTGTAGACTAGGCTTTAGTAAAAAATAATAATAAACACCTTTTAATTAACCAAGGAGCAGCTTTGCAGTGCCATTTTAAACTTAGATTACGTAAACTATGTATGTACGTTTATATTGAACAGTTGGCTAACGTTTGATTGGCTAATTTTATTGCTCAAGTAAGCAAACAAAGCACTCGATTTTGGCATTGGCTGTAGCGGAGTGGTTGGATCTGTGTACTACAACTCGGTAGCACCTAGGTTCGATCCTCGGTTCGGGCGATTGCTATTTTTTAATTTTTTTATATTTTATTTTACTTTCTTTCTTTTGTTTCATTTTATTTAATATTATTTATTTTATTGTTGGGTAATCTAAATTTTTAGAGTTTAATTTTATTAAAAAGTCAAAAACGACTAACTAAAAACAACATTAAAAATAATATAAGTTACATATAGTTGAATGAATAAAAAAAAAAATGTTATAAAAATTCTACTGGTCGTGGGTTCGAGTCCCACTACTGCCTTCTGTCAAGGCACAGTTTTGATCAGATCAACCGCGCCGTTAGTCCGGGTCAACGTTGCCGTCTGTCTATGTTTTAATACACAAAACTAATGTGGATCAGAAGAATTTTCGATGACAATACTGAAATGAGAAATGCAAAAAGTCATAACCAATAAAAAAATTAAAAATTCCCTTTTTGATTTATATGATGGATTTCATTGAATTACAACTCCCCACATCATTTAAGGAAAAAAAAAAAAAATTTTAGTCACGACCTTTTCCATTTCAGTTGCATTTCAGGTGAGGATATGTATTTTATTCTACTTTATTTGATTTTTTTTGTGTTTTATTTTATTTCACATAATTTATTTTATTATTAGTTAATTAAATTTTTTATAGCTTCAATTTATTTAAAAGATTTACCGCTAGATGTATTTACATAAAAATAATAATAGTAATTAATTAAAAAATTAAATGAAAACTCTACTGGCCGTGAGACTCGAACCCGCGACCTTGCGATTTTTTAGTCCGCAATAGATATCTACTGCCGTCTGTCAGGGTACAATTTTGAGAGGAGTATATGCTTTATTTTTAGACTATTCCACACTCTTTACAAAGAAACATTTTTTCTCCCTCTAAAAGTTAATTATTTAATTTTAGCTATTTTGTTTATCTCAGCAAAATATGCACATATTTTAGTTAAATTCAGAGTCGTACCTTAGCTGGACCACGTTGCTTGAAACTTGCACTTTAGTTTAACAGACTATAAAACTGCATACCCAGAAATTAAATTTAAAAAGTTAAAAGCTTTGATGAAAATTTGTTGACTTTTTCTAAGGTCTATAAATAATGCAATTTTAAATTTTATGGTTTTAATTAAAGCGTTAACCATATTTTTTCAAAAAACTAACAAACAAATTTTAACTTCAAAAACCTTGCAAATATCTAAGATTAACTACCATGTACTCAGTTTTGCACTGTAGTTTATGTACATACATACATATGTATGTACATATATACTACATATGTATGTACTAGAGGTATACGCCGCCGAGCCACGCCGCCGCCGCCGCCGTTTTTTGTCATTCCTCACGCGCCGCCGCCGAGTTACGAAAATATCGGCGCGGCGGCGGCGGCGGCGTTCGGCGCCTAAGGAATTTTGTACAAAATTTTCATGATGTATGTACATTGAATACATCGTTTGAAGGAACTAAATATTACTTGTATAAAAACACAATTTTACGAAATGAAAATTACATTTTTAAATTAGTTTTTTTTTTGCATAATTTGGGCCACTGGACAAGAGTATGATCCCCTTTATTTTTTCCAAAAATAGCATAACTTAGAAAAAACATAGGTAACATATTTTTTGACGACAGCGTTTATTACAGTTAAATTAGGGTCAAATACTGGTAATCTAACGATTTTTTTCCGCAGTAGACAAGAAACTTATAACACATCAAAAACTTTAGCTCCAATATCTCAGAAAGCAGTTTTAATAGAAGCGGCCTCTTTGCATCTAACTCCTCAATTATTGAAGATAAATCAAAGACAAGTTGATTTTTCTATGTATTTTTTTAATATCTTAAACAAACACTTTTTTGCTAATATTTACATTCGTAAGTTATTTTATTCTGGGGTCCCACATACGTATACAAGTACTAGGTGGCTGTGTGAAAATTACGTTAGCATTCCTTAGTGGTGGTCAAACCCCAGGAAGGTTTTGCTCCCTCGCATCGCTATGTTTTCTACACAGAATTAAAGTCCCCTCTTTATGGTAAACATTAGTATTATTTTTCATTACATTCGGTTCTCCTTAGAAAAATTTGGCGCTTCATATTTTAGTGGAAGTTTTAACCATCTATAAGCCATTTTTTTCAACAGTGGGTCAAAAAGTCCCATTCTGGTTCGAGTTGATAAGACTATTGCAAAAATTTATTGAGAGCGACATAAATTACCCCAATAACTAAACTTTAAACAAAATTTTTTTCTTTAAATTTAAATAGTACATCATCTGTAGATAATATAGAGATCCGTGTGTGTATGTATGTATATACCTCAGACCTTCTTCTGTTCGCCCATCAATCAGCGCCAGACACTCAACATTTTAGTTCAAGTAGGAAGTAACAATATTTAAATTTAAAACTAATTCAATAATGAAATAAATAGAATTATAATAATAGAATAATTGGCATGGCGAATGCCTAACGCTGACGAGTTGAAATGATAAGATTAGTAGCCTCATGGCTCTTTGAAATCTACCTTATGAGAAGTAGCGCCGGCGTTTCCAGACGCGCCGGCGTCGCCGCCGCCGCCGAATATTTTTGACGTTGACCACGCCGCCGCCGCAAAGCCTGTCGGCGTAAACCTCTAGTATGTACACAGTTTATTAGCATCATCGATACTAATTTTATACGGTTGACAAACGGGGTCGATTATTTGCATAAACAGCCTTTATTTGCTTTGAATCTTAATTGCATTTTCCTCTTTAAAATGCGCATAAGCAGCCGAACCAATGCACGAAATTTTAGGAATTATCTCGGACTCGGGGCATTTTCGATTACAACACTGGTAAAAACGGCCAGCTTTTGTTTTTTGTACAAGTAAGCAAACAAAGCGGGCGAGTTTTGCGTCCGCAGTAGCCGACTGGTGAGAGTTGCGAGGTACAAACCTGAAGCTGTCACGGTCGATTCCCGGTTGGAGCGATTGTGAAACATTTTTTCTTGTTCTATTATTTATTTTATATTTTTTTATTTTATTTGATTTATTTTATATCACATTTTTTATTTTACTATTGGTTAATTAAAATTTTTAGAGTTTAATTTTATTGAAGAGTCAACAACAACTGAAAGCAACGTAAAAAAATATAGAACTTATAAAAAAAAAAATGAAATCGAAATAAATGAAAATTCGACTGGGTTTCGAACCCACGACCTTGCGGCTCGTTTACTGCCGTCTGTAAGGGTAAAATTATTGTGAGCATATGTGTGCCAGATTATATTCATAAGCTTTGCCGTCTGTCCCAGCTTTTAGCCACCGTAGCTAAGCACGTGTGCATAAATATTACGCCTAAACGGATGGAAGCAACTATACATCTCTATCTATACTTATGTATGTATCTATGTATGTTTGTACACACAAATTTCACTGCCACGTGCTAGCAAAAAAACAGCAGCAAAAACTAAAAAAAGGAGATCTTTTGCTGGCTCGCGTCCAAATTTCCCAATGTAAGCCCCATTCCGTCCAAGAGCCCAAACACAACAAATGTGAGAGAACTCAAACTTGTAAATGTCTAATATCAAACTCTGGCACGTTTCCGTGGACACCGAACGCACGAAAACTCGATAACTCTCTTTGTTTATGGCGTCTGGCGGATTTCCTCGGAATATAGGCGAAGCACAAAATTCATTGAGCCTTTTTACGCCTTGGTACTTTCTACCCTAGGCCCGGGGACTTTCCCCAGGGTTAATTAAAGAGTTACCATGAACTCGTGTGTGACCCCGAGAAACAAGCATGGAAGACTCGAACGGCTAGCGCCGACTCCAACCAACGTTGCACACTTAAATGTATTTAACAAACCACTTTACGAAAAAGCATCTACGAATTATTAGAAGAATTAATTGTGAATGAAAAACACGCTAAATGCGTATACACTATAGTTTGCTTATAGGCGCATTGAGATGATGTAGTGTAGAACATGCTCAGATGGCTATAGTACATTAAAAAATAAATGGATGCACACACATACATACATACAAACAATCATTTCGTCGGCATTAAATAAAGCATGTTCAATTTCTATAAAAATAAAGCTCAGCTAGTACAAATATCAAAAATATCATTAAATGCAATTGGTAATATATTTATTTAAATTTCTCTTTTTTTTTTTTTGCAGGGCATCACCTGGGGTTGTGCTTATAAAATTACCGGCAGCACAGCGTTGGACTATCTCAAACAACGCGAATGCACGCTAGGTGAGTGCGATTTCTCGCCCTTATGGCATGCAACTTTCCTTGTCAATCTTCTTTTTTCTAAACTACATTAATTTCTTTTTCCATCTAGGCGGTTACGTAATCCTCGAAACAAAGTTCTTCCCGCGTGTCGCTTCCTTTGATACACCATTCAGCGGCGAAGCCGTTCCTGTTTTAGTGTACGTTGCAACTTCTGAGAATTGCCACTGGCTCGGCGAAGACACGCATGATAATATAGCCGAACAGATTGTGGAGTGCCGTGGACCAAGCGGCCATAATGTAGAGTATTTGTTG